CACCTCGGTCCAGTCGAGAAAGGGCACCCTGAGGAAGGTGAGGACGAGGAGTACACTCATTAGAGGGGTGACCTTCGCGAGCATCTTAACAGAAAGAGAAGCTCGTCCCTCCGAAAGGGACAGTCTCCGTCTTGCTCACACAGAAACTCCAATCAATAGGCAGAGTCCTCCTACAATCCAATAACTCCCAAAGGAGTGATCACAAGGAAGGAGTTCGACCAGCTAAAGAGCAAGTTTGATGCTCAGGTTGAAGCCTTGAAGGCTAAGTGCGAGAAAAAAGAAAGTCCGTTTGATGATGGCGACCTGGGAGAATCGCTATTCACCTCGGACATCCTAGAGGCTCCGATCCCTCCAAAATTCAAGACTCCCACCATGAAGCCTTATGACGGGTCTAAGGATCCAAAAGACTATGTTGAGGTCTTCGAAGGCCTCATGGACTTTCAAGCGGCAACAGATGCAATCAAGTACCGCGCCTTCCAGATCGCGCTCACCGGCAGCGCGCGTTTATGGTACCGAAGACTGCCGGCCAAGTCGATCTCGACCTACTCCCAGCTGAGGAAAGAATTTATTAGCCAATTCTCTTCTCGGCATTACGATAGAAAGACAGCGACTCACCTCGCCACCATCAGACAGAAGAAAGGTGAGACGCTGAGAGAATATGTCACAAGGTTCCAGGAGGAGCAGCTGAAGGTCGCACACTGCTCCAATGACTCGGCCATGTGCTACTTCCTCACCGGCCTGGCCGACGAGACCCTCACTGTGAAGCTTGGAGAAGAAGCCCCAGCCACTTTTGACGAGGTCCTGCAAAAGGCGAAGAAGGTTATTGATGGGTAAGAGCTCCTCCGAACCAAAATTGGCCGACCAAAAAAGAAGATCGACCAGGGGAGAGCTGGCAAGGACAAAGGAAAAGCTTATTCCAAGTCCAGGGACAAGGGACCATCCTTCTCTGGCAGCCGAGCTGATTATCGAAGGTCGGATAGCAGCCGCAACCGAAGCCGACCTTATGAGCGTTACACTCCGACCACCATCCCAATCTCCGAAATACTTACGAACATTGAGGAGACCGGGATGGAAAAGCTCCTCAAACGACTTGAGAAGCTCCGAGGGGACCGAAAGAAGCGGAATAAAGACAAATATTGTCGTTTCCATCGTGATCACGACCATAATGCATCAAATTGCTGGGAATTGAAGCGCCAAATTGAAGACCTCATTCAAGATGGATACTTCAAAAAATTTGTAGGCAAATCGAGGTCCAACTCGGCAGAAAAGAAAGAAGAGAGGAAGCGTTCGAGGACGCCACCTCACCGAGATGACCGACCTGCGGTCATCAATACTATTTTCGGAGGCCCAAGTGGGGGCCAGTCTGGGAATAAAAGAAAGGAGCTAGCTCCGAATCCAGACGCGAGGTGTGCATCATCAGGGAGCAAAGACCGACCTCCTCCATTGCCTTCAACGATGCCGACCTGGAGGGGGTCCATTTGCCCCATAATGACGCGCTTGTGATCGCTCATCTCATCGATCACATCCTGGTCCGAAGAGTACTGGTAGATGGAGGCGCATTTGCCAATATTTTGTCCCTTTCAACATATCTTGCCTTGGGATGGACCAGGTCGCAACTGAAGAAGAGTCCAACACCCTTGGTTGGATTCTCTGGAGAATCGGTCTCTCCAGAAGGGTGTATCGACTTGACGGTTTCAATTGGGCAAGATGATACACAGGTAACTCAGATGTCCGAGTTCGTTGTGATCGTTGGAAGATTGGCCTACAACGCCACCTTCGGGAGACCCATCATCCATTCGTTTCGGGTCGTTCCTTCAACGCTTCATCAAGTCTTGAAATACTCAACTCCCAATGGAGTAGGCACAGTCCGAGGGGAGCAGAAGACTTCAAGGGAGTGTTATGCCTCCGCGCTTAAAGGGTCGTCAGTATGCGCCCTGGAAGAACAAACAATTCGGGACGAGTTGCAAGAGTCCAAGGCTCGACCTAGCTGGGGCTCGATCTACTCGGAACCCGACAGGTCCGATATGAGAAAAAACATGTAATCGCCAGTCGTGTGTACTGTCGGATCCACCACCTATAAATAGAGGGCCTCATTTCACGCTCAGGTAATCTCACCTCGAACTAAAAATACCTAGGACACGTGGAGGACACTTATTGGTGTTTGAAGAGTTAAATAAAAGGAATTACCCCGGTCCACCTCGGCCCTGCCGAGGAGACCAGGTTCGTCCATTGAAAAAGGCTAAGTGTAGATGCCAAGGCTCGACCTAACTAGGGCTCGATCTACTCGGAACCCGACAGGTCCGATATGAGAAAAAACATGTAACCGCCGGTCGTGTGTACTGTCGGATCCACCACCTATAAATAGAGGGCCTCATTTCACGCTCAGGTATCGAATCTCACCTTGAACTAAATACAGAGTCCGACCTATACTGACTTGAGCTTCGGAGTGTTTTACCCTCTTGTGCAGGTCCACTCTAGTGTACAGGTCGAGACCGGAGACCGGGTTCGAGCTTGGTTCGAGAAATATCGTTGTGCAAATATTTGCAAAATGAGAAGAGCTTGAGCTTGTTCCCTTGCTTAGCCTTGAAAAACAAGTAAGCATAGGAAACAAGCTGGGGGCAACTGATAGGGAAGAGCTGATCAACTTCCTCAGGTCCAACTCGGACGTCTTCGCATGGTCTCACGAGAACATGCCAGACATCAACCCAAAGATCATGGTGCATCGCCTCAACATAGACCCATCATTCCGACCTGTGAAGCAAAAAAGAAGACCTGTAAATAAGGAGAGGAGTGATGTAATTGTTAAGGAAGTTAACAAGCTATTAAAAGCTGAATATATAAAAGAAATTCTGTATCCCGAGTGGCTCTCTAATGTTGTATTAGTCAAGAAATCCAACGAGAAGTGGAGAATGTGCGTGGACTTCACGAATTTAAACAAGGCGTGCCCAAAAGATTGCTTCCCCCTGCCGAGGATTGACCAGCTCGTGGACGCAACGGCCGGACACGAGCTACTCACCTTCATGGATGCCTACTCCGGATACAATCAAATCAAAATGCACTTGCCAGACCAAGATCATACCGCGTTCATAACAGACCAAGGTCTGTACTGCTACAGGGTGATGCCCTTTGGTCTAAAGAATGCGGGTGCGACCTACCAAAGGATGGTGAACAAAATGTTCGCCAGGCAGATCGGTCGGAATATGGAAGTATATGTGGACGACATGCTTGTCAAGAGCAAGCAGTCAAAGTCGCATCTTTCCGATCTGACCGAAGCCTTTGGAGTACTGCGCAAGTACCAAATGAAGCTCAATCCAGCCAAGTGTGCCTTTGGAGTCTCCTCGGGAAAGTTTCTGGGTTTTATGGTAAACAACCATGGGATCTAAGCCAACCCAGAGAAGATAAAGGCCATGCTCGAGATGGAAGCGCCCAAAAACTCTGAAACAGCTTCAATGCCTCAATGAGAGGATTGCAGCTTTGAACAGGTTTGTTTCAAGGTCACTGACAAATGCCTTCATTTCTTCAAAGTCCTAAGAAAGAAGGGACCATTTGAATGGACGGCAGAGTGCGAACAGGCATTGGAACAATTGAAAAACTATCTCTGCTCGGCACCTCTGCTCGCAAAGCCGTTGCCAGGGGAGAAGCTCCACTTATACCTAGCAGTGTCTGACAGCGCTGTTAGCTCGGCCCTAGTCAAGCAGGAAGGAGTACGCCAAAGTCCCATTTATTACACAAGTAAAGCCATGACCGAGGCCGAGACCAGATACCCCCGAATGGAAAAGCTGGCCCTCGCTTTAGTCACCTCGGCCCGAAGACTTAGGCCGTACTTCCAAGCGCACACCGTTGTAGTACTTACCAACTTGCCCCTGAAGAATATCTTCCATAAGCCAGAAACATCAGGGCGCCTGATGAAGTGGGCATTAGAGTTGAGTGAATACGACATCCAGTTCGGGCCCAAAACCGCGTTAAAAGGGCAGACGGTGGCAGACTTCATCGTGGAGCTTACCCCACCATCTCAGTCGACCGAGTCCGACCTCTCGTGGACGATCTACGTTGATGGATCTTCCAATGAGAGGGGGTACGGGGCAGGAATCCTCTTGCTCGCACCAGGTGGTGAGCGATTTGAGTATGCTCTGCGATTCAACTTCCGGACTTCAAATAATGAGGCTGAGTACGAAGCACTTCTGGCAGGCCTACGCGTTGCTAAAGGACTGGGGGCCATCCACATCAAGGTCTTTAGTGACTCCCAGTTGGTCGGAAATCAGATTAAGGAGGAGTATCAAACAAAAGACCCCCGAATGGAAAAATATCTGAGCAGAGTCAGATCGCACCTCGCCCAGTTCGAGACTTACGAGGTGAGTCAAGTTCCACGGTCAGAAAATTCCAATGCTGATGCCTTAGCCAAATTGGCATCAGCATATGAGACCGACCTGGCCAGATCGGTCCCAGTCGAGATTTTAGACAATCCTTCAATTTTGGACCCAGACGTGATGGAGATTGACATTCCATCACCCTCATGGATGGATCCAATTGTGGAGTTCATCCAAGGAAATCCGCCGCAAGAACTGAAGGAACAAAAGAAGATGGCACGGAAAGCAGCTCGGTTCGTACTCCGAGATGGAGCGTTGTACCGACGTGGCTTCTCCCTGCCCCTGCTTAAGTGTGTAACTCCTGAAGAAGGCCTTTACATCCTTAGGGAATTCCATGAAGGAGTGTGTGGTAACCACTCAGGCGCTAGGTCGTTGTCGGCCAAGGTAGTTCGACAAGGGTACTATTGGCCCACTGTTGAACAGGACGCAAAGCAGTTTGTAAAAACTTGCGATAACTGCCAGCGTTCGTGAATATCATTCATCAACCTCCCGAATTGCTTACCCTCATCTCGGCCCCATGCCCATTCGCGCAATGGGGAGTAGACATCATAGGTCCTTTTCCCCTGGGCAAAGGGCAAACCAAGTTCGCCGTTGTCACTGTAGACTACTTCACTAAGTGGGCCGAGGCCGAGGCATTATCCCACATCACGGAGTCCAGAGTCACATCTTTTATATGGGCAAACATTGTATGCCGTTTCGGTATACCAAACGCCATTGTGACAGACAACGGAAAGTAATTTGACAATGCAAAGTTCAAGAACTTTTGCAGTAACCTGGGAATAAGTCATCTCAGTTCGTCCCCTGCTCATCCAAAGGCCAATAGGCAGGTCGAAGCGATAAACAAAATTATAAAACGAGGACTTAAGCTGAGATTGGACTCCAGAAAGGGAAGATGGGCCGAGGAGCTACCCGAAGTGTTATGGTCATATCGGACCACCTCGAGAGAGTCAACGGGCGAAACTCTATTCTCGCTAGCCTTGGCTCCAAAGCTGTTGTACCAGTTGAGATCGGCATACCAACAGACAGGGTAGAGCAGTACGAGCCAGCGAAGAACGAAGAAGAGCTACTCCTTAACCTCGACTTATTGGAAGAGAAAAGGGAAATGGCTCAACTGCACCTAGCAGAGTATCAGAACAGAATGACCTGACATTACAACGCCCGAGTTCGACCTCGAAGGCTTCAAGTTGGACATTTAGTCTTAAGAAAGATTCAGAGTCATGTGAGCACTCTTGACTCGAGTTGGGAAGGACCCTTCGAGGTTAAAGGCATAGTCCGACCTGGAACGTACATGCTGGCCGATTTAGAAGGAAATGTGCTTGCACATCCATGGAATGCAGAGCACCTAAAACGCTATTACCCTTGAAATGTCAAAATGGTCCTAGAGCGGACTTGTAAAAATTTTCAAGGGGAGGAACTGAATTGCTAATAAACAAGTTATTTAATTTCCCGACTCCGAGTTCGATCAGAAATTAAATGGGGGCCACGGACTCCCATAAGACTTACGGTTTATAAATGCAAAAATTGATCAAATTCAAACCCCGAAACCCACAGGTTCGAGGTGCGATGTGAGTATTAATTAGGAACTCAAAATTCAACACTTTGAACGCTTAAGTTAAAGGTGCGATGTAGAAAGTTCAAAATTGGTTTAATATTGACTATTAAACTTCCGAGTTCGAGGAGAAATATTAAAGACCAATAAAAGAAACTCTCAAATTCAAACTTCAAGTAAAAGGTGCGATGTGAAAAGAGTTTATCCCACACTCAATCCTTTAAACTTACGAGTTCGAAGTGCAAGATGGAATTATTCATATATGAGCTCAGACTTACAAAAGCAAGTTTAGAAAGCTTAAGGAAACAGTAATAAAAAAGTAGACAGAGCCCATTGTACAGAGGTGGAGAAATGAAGAGTTCATTGATTGAAGGATAGAGCCAAGGCTTATATACCTTGCAGCTCTGCCCTTAAACTTACAAAAAAAAAAAATAAAAGAAAAAGAGAACAACAGTATATGTAAAATAAACAAGGAGCCTCAGCTACTCCCGAGGTGAGAAGACAGTTCGCCTTGGGAGCCCAGAAGGTTTATGTTCTGAGATCCACCCTGTTGCGAAGGGACCTCCTCTTGGGTGGTGCCGACCTCGATCTGCTCTTGACTAGGAGCGTCTTCTTCCTCATGATCGGAGTAGTCAGAGTCCAGCTCTCTGACGTACTTCTCCACCAAAGACTGGGGGCCTGGAGTGCCGTTAGGCCCAGAAGCCCATTTCTCAGCATACCTCTTCTTCAAATCGCCGAGGTCGAGCTGGAGGTGGTGCATGTCGGCAGCAATGCCCTTCATCAGGAACTTGAAGCCGGCATCACTGAAGTCATTGGCAAACCCATCGAAGTCTGGGTGTTGCTTGAATGATTCCTCCAACAGAGCTCCATTGGTAAAGCGTTCCTTCATGTCTTTGAGCTCGGTTGTAAGGCGCTCAATTGAGGCATCTTTCACCTCAAGAACTTGAGCAAGGTCGTCCTTCTCCTTCAGAAGCTGGAATTTCTCCTTGTCCAGCCCTTTGGTGATAGCATGGGCTGCTCGGAGATGGGCCTTGTGTTTCTCACCCTCCTTCTTCAAAAGCTCAGCCTTGGCGTCCACCTCGGCTTTTAGGATATCCACCTCGGAACAAGCTTTCAGTAGCTCGCCTTTCACGGTGGTGGCAGCCTCTAGGGTGGAGGGGAAGTCTGAGGCCATACTCAAACATTTTTAAGTAAAGAGTGACCCATCCATTTGGAGGATTGTTAGCTCTTTCCCCTTCCTCCAGAATCCTAAAGAGGATGTTGTTTGGAATTTTAAACCCCGTACGGAGGGGTCCGAGATAATGATTGGGCATTTTAGAAGGGTATTCCAAACCCTGGCCCGAGGTGGAAGTGTCGCTATCCTCTCCATCGTCCGAAAATCTAAAGTTCTCTATCTCTTCCAGCTCGGACTCCAACCTAAGAGCTAAATCCTCCTCAGAATCACTTGGTTTGGGGGGCGAACTACTTATGGTCCGACCTGCACTACCTAGGCTATCACTACTGGAGGGAAAAGACAAGAAAACTACCATATTTGAAAAAGAAGAGTAAAACGAGAATGACTGACCTACAGAAGGTTCGAGCTGGTTTCAGATCGAACTCCAAGAATTCAGGGAACGTAAGGTTTGACCTGAGGACCCAGAACTATTTATAGCTAATCGGAAAAACCTCTGCACCGTACACGTGTAATCAACGAGCAGCTAGGATCATCTCGAGATCAGTAACGACAGAATACTTGAGTGCTCCAACAACCTGGCAGATCGAAACATCTTTGGCAACGGTCATATTCTCTCTACGAATTAAAAGTCGCCACGTGTCCAAAATGGAATCGGATAAACTTCTTTGCCAGGTCGAGATCGAACCTGACAGAGAGAGGGCCAATTTTTGGAGGTAAAAATACCTAGGACACGTGGAAGACACTTATTGGTGTTTGAAGAGTTAAATAAAAGGAATTACCCCGGTCCACCTCGGCCCTGCCGAGGAGACCAGGTTCGTCCATTGAAAAAGGCTAAGTGTAGATGCCAAGGCTCGACCTAACTAGGGCTCGATCTACTCGGAACCCGACAGGTCCGATATGAGAAAAAACATGTAACCGCCGGTCGTGTGTACTGTCGGATCCACCACCTATAAATAGAGGGCCTCATTTCACGCTCAGGTATCGAATCTCACCTTGAACTAAATACAGAGTCCGACCTATACTGACTTGAGCTTCTGAGTGTTTTACCCTCTTGTGCAGGTCCACTCTAGTGTACAGGTCGAGACCGGAGACCGGGTTCGAGCTTGGTTTGAGAAATATCATTGTGCAGATCTTTGCATAAACACAGTAGATATCGTTGCATAAGCGAAGAACCACAGCACCCCGCTCTCGTGTCGGTTATCGCTCTCTTCATTAGTTACCTCAATTTCTTTCAGAAGTTCCCTCATGTTATAGATATCAGCATCTGTCGCAGCTTGCACCAACTTACTTTAAACCTTCTTCAACTTTGATAGTCTTCAGCATTTCAGGAATTGGCCTTGGAATTCAGATGTCCATAGGGGAATAAACTTTCGAGTGGGAGCCCTGGCGGGTCCTCTACTCAAAACTTAGCCTTTGAATGTTAGCTTTATGGCTTCAATCAAACCAAAATTATCACAAACCAAGTATGAACTATCAATTTGAGCGTTTTAAAGTGCCCATAGCGTAGAGCTCGAAAAGAAAAAACCAACGCATATCAAAGCACTCAAATCAGAGTTTAAATGAGTAATTTATAGCCAAAACAAGTTCGGGAAGAAAAAGTATATGTGTTAGGTGACGTGGCATCTAATAGTCAAATTATGCTACCATGGCAATGATGTGGCAGTAAAATGGCATCAACAATTCTGGTGACATGGTGGATGACATGGACAAATCATATGACGACACGTGGTGCTCTCAATCTCAACACATAAAATTCCCACAATTCTCTCAAATTCCACAATCTTCTCTCAATTTCACATAATTTCTCAATCTCCACAAATTTCTCCAAATCTCGATAATTCTCTTTATTTATTTTCCTTATCTCTACTTTTAATCTCCACCATCCATCCTTTGTTGCCCTAATCCAACGGCCAAATTCCATCAACAAAATTCTATTTAAAGCCACCAAATTCCACCATTATACACACCAACTATCAAAGTAAAATCTATTGTTTTCAAATTCTCCTCTAAACTTTTGCAAAATCTTCATTCTCTCCTACACATAACTTGTTTATTTAGCCATTACTTTGGTGCAAAATTTGTGTAATCCACTTGTGTTTTTGAATTCTTTATTTTCAAATTGGGTTTTGTATTAAGGTGTGGGTACACCTTGAGTTGTGAGAAAAGTAAATTGGTTGGATCCTGAACTAGTAAAAAGGATCTTGGGTTTCTCTTTAGCCTTGGGCAAAAAGAGGATCGATCGGTTTGGTTGTCACCTGTAAGAGGGCCGTTGGAGTAAAATACCCAAGAAGAGGACTTGGGGAGTGGAGTAGAAATTTCCAAACCACTATAAAAATTCTCGATGTCACTCTCTCTCTTATCTTCTCTCTTTTAATTTCAGTACTTATCTATTTTGAATTATTTTACTATATTTGCTTAAATTTTTTGTTCAATAATTATTCTTCTTGATTAATCTTCTTTTATTGATTGAATAATTGTTTGTTATCATTGAATTTATTTTTAATTTTGAGAAAGTGGTAGGGAACCCTATTCAACCCTCTCTAGCGTTGTCATTCGATCCTACAATTGGTATCAGAGCAGGTAGCTCATTTCTTTTTAAAAAGGTTTCATTTTTTAAAATTTCATCTTTTTCTAAAACTATTTTTGTAAAATTTGGAATCTTCTTTATTATTTAAGAAAAGTTTGAAAATTTAGTTTTGAGCTGATTTTACTAGAAATTAATATTCCTCAAAACTTGACTTTTGAAAA